GGCGTTAACAAATTGCTTTTTATAACACAATTTTGGATGGGTATCGGACAATAATACTCAACCATTTGTTTCTGACTAGCATGAGATTTGCCGGAGAAGGGTTTTTTTTTGTTCCAAAATTACTTAAAACAAAAAGATCAGACTTGCTCAATTTACGAGTGTTTGCTAGGGCTACTTTTAAAATTAAACGGATTAAATTCCGACAACATTATAGTCATAAAACAATAGGACACCATTAACATGCGAATCCACACATGGATTGCTCCTCTGTGTTTGTATCTAAAAACTAGTCGCTCAGCAACACATTTCTGGTTACTTCACCTCATATAGTTCCCTTAGACAGACGACAAGTGGTGCACAAAACTATCTTCTGTCTATGACATATATCGCCACGACATTCGTCCCATTATGTTTACATTTCCCAGCGATTTTGCCGTTTTAGGAACTTAAGCATTCCAACATTGCTGAATGCACTGCAAGTTGAATGCATTCTTAAATGGAAACTGCGCTTTGCAACATCACCGACAGACGGCAGCGGAAACAAGTATGTATTATAAAAATACAAAAATAAATTTGTCGTGCAGCGATGCAGAATGGAAAAAGCTGCCTTGAGTTGCACTACGAATCAGTCTAGCGTGCTATCAATTACTGTGGCAAGTGTTGCACGTGCCACAGACACCGACACCAACACCAACACCAACACCGACCCGTTCTTCACTGTGCACACTGGCAGCTAGAGCTAGTCCTTGGACCCTCGATTCAGTCGGGACAGCCTGCTCATCCCATTGTGCTGCTTGGCATTTGGTTCCAGTTTATTTTTTGCCATCAGTTCCATTCCTTTTCTAATTTCTTGTCGCACTTTGGCCGTTGTCTTGGCTCCTTCTATTGCAACGTTTTGTAAGTGGCATGAGCATCGCTGCACTTTCTTGACAATTTGTCCGCTCTTTTTCCTCTGTTGCCTGCTTTTTGAGTGCTTTCAATTGTTGCACAATTTTTTAATTTGTTGCATGGCCAAGGAAATGAAAGAGTAGCCATTGCTGGGGGAATTTTAATCTAAAAGGGGTGGCATGGGATGGCCCAGTGTCCGATGACACTTCCGCTTAGATTTTAATAATTTGTTTGACCTGCTCTGGACATTCCTTGCCATGCGAATGCCAATTAAATCCACATTATGCCTCAATTCCAGAAACCTGCAATTTATGCATTCAATTAACCACAAATGAGCACACAATTCTCACATATTCACGCACTTGATGCCCACACAATGTCATAATAACTCAAGCAGCCACAAAACAAAACAAAACAAAACAAACTCCACATTTTGCATTCGAATCGAATTTGGATTGTTGGGCTTTTGAGCCCAGAGGAAATTGCCATTTAAATTTATGCAATGAACCGTAAGGCTAAATACCTAAATAATATTGAAGGACTTAGCCCTGAGGTCTTGCAATAAGCTTAATCCCCTATGCTATTGTCGCTGTCGTTTAAATATAAATCGATTCAGAAAAGTCGAAGGTTTTATGCGCTTAAGGATTGCTTTGTTATTTATCCAAACACATCTGAACCCATCTGAAACTTCTACTGGGTATACTTACTGAATATAATATAGCTTAAGGGAAATACATACATGCAGCTTAAGATTTCCTTGAGTTCCTTAAGTAAGACCTTAAGTTGCTCTCTCTGTGAGTCAAATGTCTTCAAAATCTTCAAAGTAGTCCCTATTTTTCCTCTCTGCCTTAGGTAAAGAACAAGTGTAGAGTGTAGAGAGCACTGACTATTCTCTGCCCGTATCTGATAAAATGATCATTTCATTTTCATATTAAATACCAAAATGTAATAAGCATTAAATTTGCTGCAATTTGTTGCAGCAAGGAGCATACGTACGAGAGCTGACAGGAAGTTGCAATTACAATGTAATTACAACCCACAGTCTGAGAACGTTTTAAATTTTGTATGTCCTGGGCAAATGTCTAAATGCGAGAACGCCCCCGAAAAGGATTATGCCAAAGGACTATCCGAGCGTCTGAGCATCTCTGAGTGTGCGTGCTTGTGGACAGGACAGGGGGGAACGCTCCACTTACGAGTAAGTAGCAGCTTATGACATAAACATACGAGTACGATATGAGCTGGCTCTCGATGTCGGTAATAAAATTACGCTTAAAATGTGGCACGTAATTGTCAGGTCCTTTGTCCTCCCTTTGTCTCTCCGGCTCTCTACTGGCCCCCCTCGTCGTCTAATTGCCGCAAGTGGGTCTGCCTTTGTGCTTTAATTAGTGTTACGGTTCCAAGTCGGCATTTTGATTCTTAAAGCGCACTCGACATGCGCTCAGTAAATACTCGTACCGACTAAACCAACTCCAGGGCTCGCCAATCCCCTGCGCCCGCTGCATTCTCCGGAGATGTTTGGTAATCAAAAGTTAGTACTGACTGTAAATTAATTTCCTGGCCACGTTATGCAGCAATTGCAGTTTCCAGTCTCAATTACGGCAAACTTGCTGCAATGCATAAATTTCGAGCACACACCAGCCACACACGGGCCGAGGCCGACGCCGAGGCCAAGAATCAATGATTAATTTTATGTGGTTCGGAGTTCGATATTAGCAGGGGCTGCAGAGGCGGCCTCGTACCCTGGGAGACTTAGGATGGGAACGGCGGTGGCTGGCTGTACGCACATAATGCAGCCAAGTTAAATGAGTTATTAGCATTCGCTAGATTTGGGTTTGATTAGCAGAATCTACGGCAAAATGTTTGATGTATTACCCCAGTGAAAACCTACAGCTTCAGTCAGTTTCGAATTGCAAGCAAGAAAGTTTTGAAAACTAAACTCATATAATTATTTTAATCACAATATTCGAATGAAATCAAACGAATAAAAGGTATTCCACCAGGTTAAAGTAAGTTCACCACAGTAGACAATTTCTATTCCTTTTATTCGTGCACCTAATATAAAGCCCTAGACAAGACATTGCACTTTGCTGTTCACACTCCTCCTGCCATTTCAATTGACAAGAACATGGCTCAAAGAACGCCCAGATCATTAAAAAACAGAATGTGTGACATTGTGTCAGGCATAATAATAAAATTACAATTGAGACTTGGCGACAAACAAACGCGGAAATGTGCAAAATCAGCGCAAAAACTGTGGCGGGGGCGGCACTGATTCTGGGGGCGTCCTTTAAGGAAATGTCAAATCAAATTTATTGACTTTCATTGTTCGATGGGAGGGAGATGGCGATGGGAGGAGACTACAACTCCAAACTCAGTCTGTAGTCGCGTTCATTGAAATGTGAAAAGCCAATGACAGGGGGCCACGACCAACAATGTGCACCTTTTTTTTTCCTCTGTCTCTTGTTCCTGGCGGCTCCTCCTTGTGGCACTTGTCGATTTGTCCTGCACTTTTCGTATTTGTGCGCGATTAAAGAGCCGCTTAGCACGTTTGAATGCCTTTCTCCCGTCATCCAACGCCCCAATCGTCGAGCTATGCAAGCCTGAGACAATCAGCAGCCCTCCCCCTCCATAGCTCTGTGCGCATTCCCCGCTCAATATCTCCTCATCTTTTCCCCCATTCTTCACTGATTTCCAACAACTCTGCACAATGCCTGCTGGCAGTGCTATAAAAATCATATGCTTCCTTTCATTGCAAGGGTTTGGCTTTAGCTTTTTTGCCTCTCCTTCACCAGACTTTGGTCGACTCGCTTTGTGTCGGGATAAGTTTGACAATTATTTGCATTGTTCACTGAAGTCGTTTGCTCAACATGCACATGAATCGGTAACTACAACATGAGTGGGTCCGTAGTTATATCTCACAGTCGGGGCAAGGCTTTTGTACACTGCTCGATGAAGTTGCCGAGGGCTGATAGGGGGTAATATTGAGATGGACAAAAAGTGGAGAATTTTTTGGGGCGAAGCAATTGCTTTGTGATATCTTTGGCCAGCCAATCATGATGCATTGTGTTCAGAAAGAAGCTGAGATTGGTTCCAGATTGGTTAAGCAATGCACCAAGTCCAAACCGATAGGCCATATATCTTTTTTTTTTGTATTAAACAAACATAAATATAATTAAAAATAATAAATACTGTTGCAGGCCAACTTAACAATAATTTAGGAATATTTAGAAATCCCGTAGAGGAATCGCTGTGCTACATTTCACAAGAAAATCACTTTATTCAGTGGGTGACTGGTGGATTTCTGCAACCAATTTTCCTCTCACGGAAATGCAGAATAAATGTTCTCCGTTTGACCCGAAAGCCTGTTGCCTCTGTCGTTGGATATTCAGGCTAGTCGGAAAGGCCTGCTGCCAAAACCGGAGTTCTTTTTGATAAAATTGTCTCCTTCTCCTTCTCTCTCTCTCTCTCCCTCTCTGTCTCTTACTTTGGCGGTTGTCTTGTGCGGCTTCTTTTTAAATGGCTGTTTCCGCTTCCTGTTCCGTTTCGTTTGACTTGTCTGCACGTAAATTTTGTGCCATTTTCCCGTAACGAAATTTGGTTGTTCTTTTTCTGAAACTCAACCCGCGTCGACCTCCTCCTCCCGACTCCCGACTCATTCATGTTGGCGGTAAATTTTAGTACAATGCATATATAATCTTTTTCACTTATCTTTGCATAGTTTCCCTTTGCTGCAGCAAAACTTTTTACGGTCTGAGGTTAAAAGTAGCGTCATACATTTCCAGCAGCGCGCCCACACCGCCCATTCCAGCCACTCCAGATTCGCGTGCGCGTTGAGAGCCATATAATGAATGAAAAGTTGGCTGGGAGTTGCAAAAGGTTGCGGCGGCTGCCACTGCCGCTGTGAAAGGTGCAAAGGCATCGCAATTTTTGCTGAATGGCTGGGTTTAGTTTTTCCACTTGTCGACAATCTTGTGACAGATTTATGGGTTAATTATTGTGAATGCTGCGATGGGAGTGAGTAACACTAAAACATGGCAAGAGATAAAGTAGAATGAAATCCTATTTCATAGATTATAGCACTGAGAAAGTAGTTACATTCAGTATCAGAAAAGTTCAAGATATATAAAAAATATTCGAATTTAATTTATAAATGTCCATCATTTTCATTCAGCGCGAGATGGATAGCAAACAATCATCACTCAAAACCTGTGCAGTCGAAGATAATTTTGACTCTGCCGTTGATAGCGGGGAATACGATATGTTTATGGGAATCTATGAGTTGAGCGTTACCCTTGGACATTATCATCCTAATATACACCAGATAATGCGAGTCTTGGATAAAAGTAAAACCTCAACCAATGATTCGATGGAAGTGGTGCTGCTTAATGATATCCGTCTGCGTTTCGAGGATCTGCAGGAGGGAGAAGATACTGAGGAGAAGCCCCTACACGAGGCTGAGCAGCATGTCTTTCTGTATCTCTGTAAGGAGCTTTCTAACATGGAGCCGGACGAGCGCGAGCGTATGAAATACATCAAATTTTGCTGCGAGCTTTTCGATGAGGATCGAAGCAAGGATATGGGTCTTGAGGAAACTTTAAGTTTCCGTCTAAGATGCGTAGATCGTTTACACATAAACATTCAGAAGATAATGGCACGTCTTGATGCATCCACCGATGAGGAGTCTAATGTTGAAGTCCATGTGAATGGACATTTAGATTTAAGTGCTAGTGTCACAGATGCTCTGAATTTTAATGGGAATGCTGCTGAAGATGCTTCCGTTGTGGTACCTTCAGATGTCCAGAGGGAAATGCCTGTAGATTTCCCCTTGGATATTCCTGTAGGTACACGACTGTCTGTTACGGATGACCCGGATGAACTTCCTGTCCGCGATGATGGAGATATTCCCTTGAATGCTGCAAGAGAGGTTTCTGTGGCTATTCCTGTTAATGATATTGTGGCAATTCCGTTAGATATTCCGATGGAAATTGCACTTGATATTCCTGTGGGTCAGCAATCAAATGCAGCGCAAGAAATTGTTCGCGAATCTCATGGGAATAAAGATGATTTGGCGTGGGAGCATCTGAAACAAACCCAACATTTAATATCGGAATTCATACGAAATATGACAACGATGGTTAAAGGAGGTCCAAGAACAGACTCAGATCAGGTGCAGAAATTCCCCCAAGAGAGGCCTGAAGATTTATCTTTTTTGGACGATGGTCTGGAAGATATATCGTCAGGATTGAGTCATACTGCTTGTGATGTTCCGATAAATACCTTGCCGGAAGCAGATAATTCCTTGTCCAGATTGACAGCAGAAAAGCACAATAAAAAAGTTACTTCGATTCCACCCAGAGAGAAATCTAAAAATGAATTCAAAGAACTCTTTGATTGTTCGGACAACCTGCAAGCCGTCAGATCTCTTACTGTGAATATGGAACAGCAAACAGACTTAGGATTCGCATCGAAATGGCAACATCAGCGTCACATTTTTGCGGCCCCGCGTTATATTTTCAAACTCTTCAAGTCAAATCCCGGCTATCAATGGCTCTCAGATGATCGGAATGCTCCCAATTTCTTTGAACAATTGGACCAGTTCTATGAGGTAAGGGCACATAAGGATAATGCACCTTCTACACAGATCAGTGTGTCCTCGATACTATCACGTCTAAAGGAATTCCTGCGCAGTATGAAGAAAGGCCTCCCCAAGGACATCACTGACTCAGATTGGTTGAACAGACTGGGAAGGTGTCAGCTGACACAACTACTGACCAGTGAAGAGAGAGAGGCCTACGATACATGGCGCTGGCAGCTGAGAGATCGTGGTGGCCAAGAGCTGACGGACGAAGATCGCTATCGGGATGGACTCGATGGCCTGCTGGGCTCTGAGTCGCCCTATCTTAGACGGTCAGCCTTGAATTCCCGACTGCTGCTTCGGTACCCCCACCATCAACACAGCATCAGCGAGTCCTATTTGCTTCTGGCCCTGGGCCATGTCGGATACTTGTATCGCTCGTTGAAGCTAAAGATGCAAAAGCTCGCCAAACAGGGCGAAAGTAACCAAGCTCTGGCGGAATATATTCGTGCAGAACTTTCGTCCTTCCATGAATTCCATAATGAACAGTTGACTAGTCGCGGAAGTTTACTTCGTCTCTTCTTGCGCACTCGTGGCTACCAGCAGAGGTTTCAGTTGCTTCTCAACCTACTTCTCATTGTGAAGAACGGAAAATCTCGTGTCGTATCGCTTTATAATCAGTTGGGTCAAAGAGTCGAAAGGGAAGAAGTCACAGTTCAAAAGTGGTTGATGATCGTCAGCCACCAACTGCTTATCAAGCTCAACCGCTGGCTATTGCAGGGTCAACTGCCGGAATTGGGATGCGAAGAGTTTTTCATTGTTCAGAGTTTGGCATTAACCACAGATAAATTTTGGCAGGAACGTTTTCAGCTGGCAGAAGCCTTCTCAACGTTTTTCGATAGTCGGCTATCCATGCTGATGATCAGCATAGGTAGAAACCATATGTACTCCAGATTATACTTATTTTCCAATATAGAAACTATCGTTTCAACGATAGAGCTGCATTACAGACTGCTTGACGTTTTTCAGCAGCTCTATCAGAACGGAGACCAGGAGCCACTTTATCAACTCGTTTCCGAACTGCACCTGGACGTGTGTGGCAAGGTTTTGAGATGTCTTAACGATTATACACCTGCACCATTGACCCTCTTCCAAAACCTACACAAATACTTGCTGCTAAGCGATGTGCAGTTTGTGAGCCAGTTAATAGAATTACTTGAGCCTGTGCTGGAGGGGCCAGCAAGCTTCTATGATCTCGAGCAATTGAACTATATGATAAGCAATATGTTGCCCATCCGAGTTCCAGATCTGTATGTTGGGGAAACCATTTCGGAAGCCTCAAAATGTTGGTCCCGGTTTGTCCTGCATTGGAAGCTACCCATCCACTGGATAGCACTGCTGGGGGAAAGTCTTGAACAGTACGAGTCGGTCTTCCCCGGCCTATGGAAGTTCCATCACGCCCAGTATGTACTCTGCGAACGGATTATGAGACAACACTGGCACTTTCGTCAACGTACCCACCTGGACAATAAGTGCTTGGAGCATGTGCAGTGTCACTTTGATAAACTGATCGACATCCTTTTGGACCTAATGGATGTTTTGAAGAGCTACCTTCTGCATGATGTGTTGAACGAGGCCTTTGCCGAGTTCAAGCTGGCTATTCAAAAGGCCAGAAGCATAGACGAAATGCTCGAGGCCAATAGAATTTATCTGGATGCCATCAAGCTCGGCTCGTTTCAAATGAAAACTGTAAAAAGGTGCAGCGATTACTTGGAAAGAGTCTTCAGTCTCATCCTCGACTTGGAAGGACGGCAACAGAAGTTCTACAGGCTGTTTCAAATGTATGTGGATTATGCCTGTAATGATTGTTATGTTGGCTCCATTTTGGTGAATTGCTTGCATGATTTTCGTTTGTCCTGTCAGAACACTTGCGATTCTCTCAATCAACTAGAAGAAGAAATATATGCGGCGATCTCTGATTTTCTGTTGAGCTTGCATGTGGCTGGATATTCTTCGCTTAGGTTACTGGCCAGAAAATTGGATAGCCAGGGATTCTACGAGAGCAGAAAGGAAGTACTGGGTTTCGTAGATACCTATGCGTTCTTGAGAATGTCGAAAAAGTGTGATGCACTGTAATCTACTTTTGTAGACTTGAGGTTAATGTTGAGCGAATTAAGCTTGCTTCAGCAGTACTTTTCTTTTATTTGTTAATCTTTAATTGTTAATATGTTAATTGGTTTAAGGTTTTTGCATAAAAAGTGTTTAATAAACGACTTACTTGAGTTCAATGATTTTTCTTGGGGTTTAGCTGCAGGCTTGCACGAAACACGAGTTCTTCGAGCATTCCCAAAGCCAACCTCCATCAGATTCATCTCATTCTCACTCAAGTTATAATTCATGAACAAAAAGAGTGAAGAACAAAGAACCTTTTTTCGACGCTTTGTCTCTTGATAAATTGGATTTTAATTGAAAATTAAGAATCGACTTAGCAATGTTTGCATGGTGCAGCAGCTGGAATGCCTTTTGTTATGCAAATTCTCTTTATTTTGTGGTCTAGTGTGAAAAGGAAAAGCTCTCCTGACGACTCTGAATTCGTTTAAATGAAAGTAAATAAAGGGAAATTTACTTTTTGGCTTAAGCTTTGGGAAGACGCAATTTACTGCTCTCTTCAGCTCTGTGCAGCCCTTTGGAGCTCAACACAAGTTGAGAGTTTGTCTTGGTGTCAATTGTAATTACTCGACGCAAATTAAATCAAATTTGAGTCTTCTCTTTGCACATTTTTCACATTTTTATTAACAACTTGTGCCAACACTTTTATAATGGCTCTCATCTGCATAACTTAATTTTGTGAGAATTCGCTTGGAAATACATATATCAGCACTCAAATCTTTGCCAAAGAAATGCACAATGGGGACTTTGGGACTTCTTGGGAAAGGGTGAGTGGGTGTGTCAGAGTCCTGGGCTCCTTTGTTATCTGACAAACACAGCTGGCGAAGTCATCTCTGCGTTTTAGCCATCCACATACGACGACATACTCGTATCAGCGAGTGTGCTGGATGAATTATAAAACACAACTGGCTTCAAAAAGAATGTCAGGAAGATAATTGAACCCTGGCAGGCGGCATTTAATAAACTTGATTGGTAGGACACGAAGGAGTGGCAGCCGGAAGGTTGACAGGCTTTTGACAGGAGTACATCTCGAATGGTTGGGTGACTTGCGCAGCTGGCGATTAGGCTAATTAATTTCAAACAAAATTGTTTTTCCTCCGATTCGTTTTAGATGATAAATGAGTTACTTTTTTCAGACATAGAATTATCTTCTTTTAGTTTTATTTGCGGAAATATCTTCCTTAGAAGCATCTCAGCTTCTCCGCGAAAGAACAAATTTTCGGAAATCATTTCTTACTTTTAAAAATATTTTTAAGGTATCGCATAATTTTTAAACCTGTTGATATTATTTATTTGAGTGCAGTTACATCTCAATTCTGGGTCCTCTCTTTATCGCTCTCATTCCTTTTTGGCCAGGGCACGGCTACTGAAGGTTTTTATTTATTTCTTTTGTAGACATGAAAGTTGAGGAAATTTATGACATTCCAATATCGTTGACAACATTATCTTTGGCTCTTCAGCAGAATTGTGCGCCATGTCAAATTAAACTATAAAATTTATTATTACGCCCGTTGACATACTTGAACTGTTCTAGGCAATAAATTCCTATACCATTTGGCCGTTTTGGCTCTCCACATTTCTCCGCCGTGGCAGCCTGCCCCCCCACGCATTGTTATTGATAATTTGTTGTCAGTTTTTCTCGCCCATACTCGTACACCCATATCAATTTATGTGGCTGTTTCTGGGACTATGACCGGGACTGGAGCTAGGACTGGGGCTTTATGAAATACTTCTCATTACTGCGACGGGAGGGTGGCCGCAATGGCTGAAACATATTTGAACTATTTTCATTTCAATTGCAAACGGTTTGGCGCAGAGAAATCAATTGAATTGCCATTTCACATATGAAATGGTCATTTGTCAATGAACAACAATTGGAGGGCGTGGTCGCAGCTGGTTTGGCTGCTGGTGCGGTGGTGGCCCGATGGTTGGGGCAATGGTTGGGCGATGGTTATGGGTTGACTGCCGCACAGTTGTGCGGTCACTCAAAATGGCCGCATAAATATGTCCTCCTCCTGGCCACACTGTGGACGATCGCCTGCTGCCTCATGCTTCTGCTGCCGCTCTTGCTCGCCCTCCTCCACAGTTGACTAAATTGTTGGTCGTTATTAAATTTCCGCTGCGTTGAGTTCTCATTTCCGTTTCGATGGCCAATGCAGCTGGCCATCGTTGAACGCTCAACGGATGTTGCCATAGATACACACGCATGTGTACGTACGCCTGCCCGCAAATATATCTTTGGTTATGGCTATGTAATCAAAAGGGTTGGTGCCTCTTCGTGGGCACATGGTGCGTATGCGTAATATACGATTATTATTGTATTTTGTTAAGAGCCTAAACAATAATCCCATTCCACCCATGCTAGCATTTGCCGCAATCAAAATTCTATTGTGCAGCTGCATTTTTTGCTCTTGTACTATTTTGGAAATAGTTTTTTTGTTTGCCTTTTTAGCCAAATTGAAACTAATTGAAATATGTGAGATTGTGTGGGGCTGATGGGGAGCCGAAACTTGCGCAATAAATTTCAATAAAAAGGCATTTTTGGTTGGTATTTCCCTTCATTTTGGCTGTAGTTTGGCTATTGCCTTCCCCTGGCCGTGTGGGATGGAATTACATATACGCCACCGTGCAGTGACCTCATTTATCGTTTCGTCAGCATAACTTTACATTATGTTTTGGTTTTTGTTTTTGTTTTTGTTTTGTTTTCTCAGTTTTTGTTCAACTAAATTCAATTATTTAATGTAATTCTTTGTTTTATTGTTTCGCACGTCCCCAGGCATGTGGTTAGTCTCTGCTAAAGGCAACAAATGCAAACGAAAAGAACATTTTTGGTTACATTTGATTTGTGCTTCCTGCAGTTGGTGGAAAAACTTTCCCATCAACACACAACTTTTTCTTATATATGTATGTATGTATGTATGTATATGCATGTTCTCACCCGTTTAATTAGACGGAAAATACTTTAACAGTTCTTCGCCCCCAAAAGACCATTAAATATTATGGGTTTTAATGAAAATATATACGGCAGAACCCCATCAAACAGACTCCCCTTTTTCCAGGACCTGGTTTTATTGTTGGGCTTCCTTTTGTGGGTGTTGTTCCTTGGCCGAAAAAATAAAGAAATAAATAACAAAATTATTCAAAATTATGGACCCGCTCTTGGCTTCTCTCGCTTTTTGGCTCGCTTTCTCTCTCTGTTCCAGCTTAACCCTTGTCCAGTGCTGCGTCTCTCAATTTTATATTTTAGCCAAGTTTTTATTAAACCTCCGCCTTCCAGCTGCTTACAGAGTGAAATCTTAGGAAATGCATTAAAAAGGCGCTAAGTAAATATTAAAATTGCTGTCGGAAAGGAAGGGAAAAGGCTTAGCCCATTTTATTATTATTATTTCCCCCGACTAAACAAAGCATGTTAATGGTCTCAGCCGGACAATGTGGTTCCCATTCTAGCTCTGGCCCTTTCTACGGCTCCGGATCCGGCTGTTTATTCATGCCATGCGCTAATGGACAGCGCGAAATTGTGGCAAAATCTCCCTCAGACAATACGAGTATTATTTATTACGGGGTGAGGACTGGGAACAAAGGATGTAATATTTATTCATTTATTTATTGATTTATGGCAGGGCATTTAAATCAAAATCAGGCAAGAATGCTCAACATTTTATCAATTTGATGCGCCTATTTATTATGATGTTTGTACTTTTCACCGCTTAGGTTTTCATTCGCTCTCTGTATCTTTCTCTGGTGAAATTTATGCCTTCACTGACCACAAAAGATTCATCTTCATTTCATCTGTCTATTTCTTCCTCTGCTCCTCGCCGCCTGCTGCTTGATTAGTTGATGACACTTTGTGCGAGTCATGAATGTGTCTATATGTAGTTACCCCATCCAGATCCATATCCACATCCACATCCACATTCACATCTCGGCAGAGGCTATATGTCTCCCTCCGTGGTGCTTGTGGCTAATTTGATAAATATGCGCGCGTTTATTCAAATCAATCAGCGTCAGTCGAGCCATGGGTATGGGGGTGGCAGGGCCTGCATGGAGAGGACAAGTCATTGGCATCGTCTCCACTTTACTTGCCATCGCTTCGGATTATCCTCACTCCTTCCCACTGTGTGCATTTTGTGGCATATAAATTTCAGCTGCTTGCTTGCCACGCATACACACTTAAAGACAAACAGAGAGACACATAGATACACACACAAAACACACATCCATATGTATCTCTGTGGAGATTTCATTAATGTGCGGTTGGCTATAATGAGGCTGGTTAAGCCATAGGAGGTTTTTCGGATAACTAAAACTAACTGAAATCTATGGCAAGTGGTTCTTAAATTAGTTGTGTTTATCGTACCGGATATTATACATTCGTATAGTTTATATTGAATTTATTAACTATTACTCTACCGTTGATCAGAACGTAGCGAATATGATTCGAATATGACTCAAATGATTCAGTTTTTTGCTTTGTTAACTTTTGAAAGTATTTTATCTGTGGCTAATTATTATTTTTCATTAGCTACTTGATATTTAAGACTGATGGCAAAAGTTATGCCCACAAACAAGATATCTGTATTTACTTATGCGGCTCGCATAGATAATAAATGAACTCGAAACAGTTTTGTGAGAAACCCTTCATCATCCCTTGTATCTCAGGGGCTTCTCGTCCCACAACTTTTGCTCTTCCATTAACTGGGCTTATCAGAACTTTCCCCTCAGCTGCCCTATAAAACTTGTTTGTTCCCGTCCAAACCCATTTGCCGCACAGCCCCTGCCAGCTTCAGGTAAATTAAGTGCTCCACATTTACAACTCAATTTGAAGGGGCTGCTGCTGCTGGTGCTGCCCATCAACTTCAGCTTGACGCATATGCTTTCGTAAAATTTTTGCGGTTCTCCACAATAAATCTCAATTGAAAATGGCAAAAGTAACTTGACTCTTAAATTGCATAACTTTGAAGTGTGTGCGTGGGGGAATTTGCGCATAGCTACCTAATGAGTTCACAAATGCTTAGAAGCCAACAATAATTTCTGCTACTATATCAGATCAGATTACTGCAAAAGTGGAGGGCAGCCCGGCAAACAATCAGCATAAGCTC